CGGCAAGCGTGGGACAACCTTTGGCCGCCAGCACCCTTATCAAGCTGCTTATCAGCCGCAGGGCCCCGGCGCACCTTCCCCGGGTCTGCACCCCGTACAGATAGGATGCTGACAGACCGCCCCCGGCCCCCAGGAGGGGTCGGCTCGGGAGGTCGACCTCAGCAGGACTTGCCGGAGAACTCTGCTCACGGGCACCCTCCCAGCACGGAGGGCACTCGGCAGGCGGGGGCGCCGCCCTGGCACGGAGGCTGGTGCTTATCTTTACGGCCGTGTCTTCCAGGTGCCCAGCGCTCACCAGACCGCGGGCACCGTCTGAGCGAGTCCAGGTCCTTTCTCAGGTCATCCTCACACATCTCGACTCACGGGCATCCCAGGCAACGGCGATGTGGCCGCCACTACCCTCCGCGCTGCCATGATGATCGCAGTGGCCACAAGCACGGTCCCTCTGCCTTCGCCTCTGCATCTCCATCCACGACACCCTGTCCTGGCTCTTGGGCCGGCGACTCACCGGACCCGTGAAATCGCAGTGGGTGCACAGGGGCCCACGTCAGCAGGAGGCTGGGTTCCGGATCCATCCTCTCCGTCGGGACGTCCTACAGTTGGAAGGTCCCTTCTTGGCCAGAAACATGGACAACATGGGGGGCAGAGAGAGAATCTGCTGAATGGCTACCTTTTTGCGGTAGAATACATTAAACATGTTAACGTTTTGTTAGTTATTACGGTGATCATTTTTACTCTACTTGCTTGGGAAGAAAGAGAACACAAAACCAATGTCGTTCCTGCTGGGCTGAGCCACAGGAGCAGCTGAGGCGGCCCCGCTGGTTACTCTCTTAGAGTCGGGCTGATGTGTGCACCTCACGTGGGCACAGAGAGGGTGGCACCAACCCCAGGCCACGCGGCGAAGCAGGTGCTGGGTCTGGTGTCTTCCCATGAGTGGGGGCTGTAGACCCCGCGTTGCCCAGCACAGTCATGACCTCAGACACCCTGCACTGCCCTTTTCGTAGATAAACTCCTTCCTACCTGTCATCCCACGTGCCGGGAGCTTTGACAAGCATAGTCACCTGTGCTTAAAGCATCACGGTGCCTCCCCCATGGTGTCCTTGGAGGGATTAACCAATGACAGGTGCCCTCGATCCTTGGGGACAAAGTGGGGAGGGACCTAGTGGGGTTCCTCATGGGTGTCCTGCAGCCCCATCGGCACTTGGGGGGCTGGCTCTACTCTCCAGCCAGGGGTCCCACGGCAGGTTCTGAGGGGCTGGCCCACTGTGTGGCTGGAGAGAACGGATAGCCCTGTGTGGGTGAGTTTGTGTGTACAGGATACCCACATGTTCAGTCAAACAACAGTCTGTCTACATGTAACTGGGAAGGCATGTTTCAGACGTGATTAATATTTAAATCAGTCGACGCTGAGCAAAGCAGATTGCCCTTCGCAGTGTGGTGGGCCGCGTCTAATCAGCCGAAGGCCTTAACGGAAAAGACTGAAGTGCCCTGGAGACAAGGGGAGTCTGCCTCCAGAACGCCTTTGAACTCGAGCCTGCAACCTCAGCTCCCCTCTGTGTGTTCCTGCAGACGTGTATACCCACACACGCGCAGACACGCAGGTCCTGTCGGCTCTGCCTCTCCGGAGGCCCTGACTGATCCAACCCGCGCTGCGTTGCGGGACAGCTGTTTATAGAGACGCCCGCGGCGGAAGCCCACACACACGAGAAGGACGCACACGGACAGCATCCTCTCTGCCTCTCCCGTCACCTCGCTCTGACCAGACCCCAGGGCCATGCGATGGGATGTGTCTCCTCTGACTCAGGGTGCGTTTTCGTGTGTTTGCAATGGCAGGTTCCGGGGGGAAGGTTGAGGGGCTTCCTCACAAGGCCGAGGAAAGTCATGAGAATCATCCCATCCCGTGGACCCGCTGTGATCTCAGCACAGGGACAGGGAGGTGGATGCCAGGGCTTACTGGGTTCCTCTCTGGGGGCCATGGACCTTCAGGAGGGTACAATGGAAGTTATGGGCAAGGTCCCCGGGAAAGTCTCCACTCCCACACCCGTCTTCAGGGCCGTGTGGACCTGCGAGAGCATCCGTGCCCTGGAACGGGAGGTCTCACCTGCGGGGGGAGGCCTCGCTCACTGACCTCAGCGGAGCCAGGGAACCGTCACCAGGCGGAGGGCCAGGCCTGAGCTCACTGCGTGCGGCCGGGGCCGGGCACGCTCAGGTCCGGAAGAATGACGCATGTGGGAAAACCACGGGAGAACCGAGAGCCTCAGCTCTCACCCCCGCAAGCTGCTTCAGGGAGGGGCTGACCCGGACGCTACGGGACACAGGACACGGACGCGGGACCAGCCTCAGCATGTTTCCTGTGGCCTTTAGGTCCTTGAATGTGGCAGAAGGGACCGCCCTCGGGGACAGCCTCGCAGACGTCCTTCCAAACACAGTAGATGGTTGCTGAGTCCATCTCCGGGCGACTGAGTGGGTGGTGGGTGGGAAGACACCCAAAGCCGAAAACCACCCAAAGTCAAGGCTCTAGATTTAGGCATGAGGATCAAGACCCTCTGGGTTCTCAGAGCAGTCAGCAGCAGGGACAGGAGGAGGTCACAGCCTGGAGAAGTTTCAGGAGACCAGGAGGGTCTGAGAAAGGACAGAAGGCGAAGGCCGAGGGGCAGAAGTGGGGCTGTGACGGCGACAGCCCCGGGGAAGACCCCCGTGTGCCTGCTGCTGCTGTAGCGCAACTGAGTAGTCGTTCAGGTTCAGTCATTCCTCCAACACCCGCCTTCTCGGTCCCTACGTTTTCTCACTTTGCAATCTTGCTCGAGATGTTTTAAAGATAACAAATGGGCTGGTCCACATGTCAACGGAGAGTTTGGGGAGGGAAGGAAGAAAGGACCGAGGGAGGGAGGGGAGAAAGAGAAAGACCATCCGGAAAAATCTGCCTTATAAAAATAATTGTGCTCTTCTGACTTCAAAATGCTCACGTCTGGCTATTGTCATTTTTGTTTCCTGAGTAGCTCGTGGGACCCAAAACACCATATTTAATCCCTCTCTCCCAGTGTTTAAATGAGCCAGGGTCAGGGAAGAAAGGAAGGTGTAAATCAAACTGGGAGGGAGAAAGTTAGCAAGTTGGCAGTCCTGGAGAAAGTCGGCCATCCAGGGCCTCCCCTCGGGCATGCCAGACACTGGAAATGAGGAGGCAGGACCCAAACAGCAGGGTGTTTGCCCCACCTCCAGGATGGGGCTTGGGAACCGGTGGAGAACCACGGTGGTCTCCACGGCCTCTTCTCCTCCCCTCCTGCTCCCCTCCTGCCCCAGGCTCCCTGCCCACCGCTCAGTTGGCTTCCTTCTTTCTCCTTCTAGATGGGTCCACAGTGTGGGATTCTTGCCAAGGCCAGACTCGGCCCTGCGCTTGACCGCCCTGAGCGCTGGGTTCTGTGAAGCTAATTTGGTCAGATCACAAAGCCAGGAGGATAAGAATCGTGACACGTGTCAGGCGACGGAGGCTAGAGAAGGTGACCCTGATCACTGTCCGAGGACAGAGGCATTGGTGGCAGCCTGCTCTAGGTCCTCCTGCCCCCCCCCCCCCCGTCCCTGCACTTCCCTGCGGAGGGAAGTCTGACCACACGCAGCCCGGTGAGGCCGTTCCGCATCAGGACGTGGGGTCCGGGACAGAGTGCAGGCGCGGACGCTCTGGTTCAGAGAGTATTAAGAATGTCAAGACGGTGACAACAGAGCATCAAACAGAGGGTGGGCCCTGTGCCTGGGTTCGGGCTGCGGGGTGAAGCTGCCCCCTCGGCCATTCTGACATAATGGGTGACTTCCCAGATCCACCCCAGGAGGACTCAGAGGTCCTCCTGTGAAGTCGGCTGGGGGGAACGGCACCGGCCCCTCGGTTTACTGGGCTCTGCAGGTCCTTCTCCAGGTGCCCACGGAACAGGGTGGAACGTGAGCCCATCAGAGGTGTCGCCCAGCGTGCTCAGAGGTTGCTGGGCTTGGGGATGGAGGACCTGCATCGAGCTGGTTCCCAACACCAGTGACGAAGCTGCCCTGCCAGGCCTGGGGTGCTGTTCACACCAGCTCCTCCAGAAGGACCCCTGGCAGGGTGCTGGGAGTCCCAAGAGACCCCAAGGACCCCCGGGGTAGGACACGTGGAGACATCTGGTCCGAGTCCCAGCTTTCAGAGAGGGGAGGGCAAAGCCCCGAAGCTGGTGAGCAGAGCAAGGTCAAGGCCTGTTTGCTGTTTGCAGGACGGCGCTTCTGCAGAAGGAGCTCCTGGGCTGAGGGACTGAGCTGGGAAGCCAGCAGCCCCCGCGGGACAGCACTGTCCATGGCCTCCGGACAGCGTTGACTGTACACCAAGGCGGACCCAGGACAACTCAGACAGCACGATCTCGGTCCCAAGAGTTCCCGGGGACTGGAGGGGAGAAGGCGAGGCTACCTGCAGCAGTGGGTGCCAGTGGGCGACGGGAGCCAGCCCGTGGGAAGACCCCTCGGTCCTCCACCCCTGACCCCTGGGAGGAAGGGGCCAGGCCCCCGTGGAATCTCACCCTGACTGGCAGGTTCCACCAGGCCCTGCCAACCCACCCCCATGTTCCCTGTTCCCTGGTGACAGGCTGCTCTCAAGGAATTTGAAACTCCTTGGAGCCTGGCAGGGTCAGAGGGGGGACAGCCCCCTTCCCCTGAGGCAGCAGACAGCTTTCGGGCTTCCTCCATCTCAGAGGGACTTCTCAGGTATCTAATCCCTCTGGCTGGCTCAGTTCACTAGGAGGGACGGCCCCCCTTCCACCGGATCAGAAACTCTGGGGTTGGGTTTCTCCTGGGCCAGGCCCTCCAAGGGGTGAGGGTCACACCCTGACCTGCAGACCAGACCTGGGCTGGCAGGAGACCCAGCAAGAGCTGACTCTGGGCTAAGCGGGCTGGGGTGGGACCAGGTCCCCTGGGAGTGTGAAGCTGCGGCCTGGCTTGGGAAGCCCCCACCCCCTCAGGCCCGTGCCCACCCCCCAGGGCTCACTCACTCAGGGGTGTTGATCCAGATGATGTCCAGGTGGCAATAGTAGACGCACTCCTTGTCCTTGTAGGTGAAGCACGTGCAGCGTCTGGCTCGGTGGCGCACGGGGCCCCCTTTGGCCTCCTGCTCCCCAGACCAACCTGGTCCCTGCTCCTGCCCAGGGCTCCCAGGACTTGGACCTCGCGCTGTAGTGGTGGCCACCGGCTCCTCTATGTGCCCCTCCAATCTGAATGCAGGGGGGCCCTGGGGTACGCCAGCGTCCCCGGGCTGGGCGCCAGGCATCAGTCCTGCAGAAGGCAAATGGAGAGACTCCTGAGCTCCTGAGGGTGCACGCCCCCCACCCCCAGCCTCCCCCCAAGAATCCTGGCAGAGGGACTTTCCTTCTGCAAAGTTTGCAAGCTAGTTGCACTTTCTAGAAAGTCTCCAAGCTCTGCCAAACGTTCTGAAAAGTTTGCAAAGCTCTGTGCCCAGTTTCTGAGAAGTTCACAAGCTGAGTGTACTTAGTGGAGAGCTTGCAAGCTATTTCCACTTTCTGCAAAGTCTGCAAGCTATTTGCACCCCTTGGAAACTTGCAATCGTTTTGCATGCTTTCTCAAAACTCTGCAATCATTTTGCAGTTTCTGAAGGGTTTGCAAACTTTGAAAAGTTCCCTATTTCGTGAAAAACTAGCCAGGTTGGCTCAGGCCACAGGTCTCCAGTCTGCTCTTGGGCTACATGCAACCTCAAGAGCCCCTGGGGCAGTCCATGCGCCCAGTTTCTGTCCCCAGCCCTCCCCCAGGCGCCTCCAGGGATGGCGAGCCCAGGCAAGAGGCTGCGCCCCGCAATGCACCCATCCTCCAGCCCCCCCTGCTCCAGGGTCCTTTTGTGTGCGCTCGCGCCAGAAGAGGCGCCCCGCCCCGCCCGCCCGCTTACCTGCAGCGGAGGTCACTGTGAGCCCGAAAAGGAGCCACAGCCCCAGCTCCATGAACCCCGATCAGGCGCAGGAGCACCGGGCCTGGAGGACGCACTCCTGTGGCCCCGGAAGGGCTCTCGGGTCGGGCTCTCCGGCCTCACCCTCCAGCTGTGGGGTTCCAGGCGGGCCGCTCGCTCGCTTGGTCCCGGCTCCCTCCAGGAGTTGACTGCGGCAGTCACAAACTTCAGAGCGCGCTGCCCATCCCTACGCAGGGCTGGCCGGCTGTGGGCTCAGGCTTTTCTGGCTCCCGCACCACCCCCTCGCCTCCCCGCCCCCCGGCGGGGCTGGAGCCGCAGCGCGGGGCCTTTGAACCCCGGGCGCACCGGGGGTCGCCTCCAAGGCGAGGGGGGAGCGAGCCGGAGCGCAGCGGCCGGCCGCCGCGCACCCAGCACAGCGAAGGGGCGGGGGCGGCGCGCCAGGCCGGGTGCGGTGCGGTGGGGGCCGGGACAGCTGCCGGGAGGCCACGCGAACACACACACTCACACATATACGCAGGCACACGCGTGCACACGCCCTCACACCCCGCCCGCCGCTTTGCGCCCCGGACCTGCAGCTCCCACCCCCAGAAGCACAGGAGAGATAAAAGGCGGGGAAGAAAGGGTGCTCTTTCATCTCAGGGACCTAGGGAAAGCGACATCTCTCCCTGTTCACCTCATGACACCTTACCCTTCCTTGCACAAGGCCTGCCTGCCAAGGCGTACTTTACACTCGTGACTCAGGGCACTGGCTTGTCTCCCTGCCTCTCCCAGGAGCTCCCAGCCAGTGGGCGTGGGCCCTGGCCTGGGAGCAAAGTCAACCAAGCAGGGTTAGTGGTCCCGTGGGTCCAGGACGTACTGTGGGCCCCTGCACGGAGGGGTGGCTCCGGGAAGAGGCACCTTCCCAGCTCACCTGGGGTTGTCTTCTGCATGGAGCATGCCCAGAAGAGGAGGGCTGGTCTGTTTTGTCCTTACCAAGGCCATCTGTGCTCAGAGCTGTCTCTGGGCACGTAGGAAGTAGTCACGAAAGATTTGTGAGTGAGTGAGTGAGTGAGTGAGTGAGTGAGTGAATGCTTCTCATGGATTCCGCCCTGGACTGCTGACCTGTGGGGACATCAAGAAACCCTTAGCGACCCTCCTTTACCAGAGGCCCCTGGCCAGAGGGAAGGATGATAAAGAGGGACAGTATTCTAGACGTCATCCGGTTGTTCCCTCCTGGCCACTGCCAACCCCATCCGCCTGGATTGGGGGTCACAGACCACAGGGAGGAAGAGAAACAGGTCTGAGGCCCTGGAGTGGCTCCTGGTGCTTCAGGGCACTTGTGGTCAACGTAAAGCATGTCCACAAAGCCTTTGACACTCTTCCCATGAAAGATGAAGTTGAATTCCATCCCCATCCTCTTTAGCCTGAATGACCCACTTCTAATACACAGTGCAGCGAAAGTGACCAGAATGACTAATGAGGGGAAGTCATAAAGGTGTGACAACTTCCACCTGGCTCTTTCTCCTGGGACACTTGTCCTCTGGACACAGCCACCATGCTGGGAGGAAGCTCAAATAAGCCCCCACGTGGAGAGATCACATGGAGAAACCTACATGGTGAGAAACTGAGGCCTCCCAGCCAACAGCCAATGCCAACCCCTGATGTGTAAATGAATGTGCCTCAGATGATTGGACTAGCTGCATCCCTGTGCCCTGTCTGAATGCTGACCCACAAAACCCATGGGCATAATGGATGGCAATTCTGCTCCATTCCATTTTGAGTGATTTGTTACTAAAATAGCACCCCAGAGTCAGCTCAGTGCCTCCCCCTCCCTTCTACCCAGGCTCCCTCCATTCCGCCCAGTCCTTGAGTCCAAGTCAAAGAGTGGAGAGTGAAAGGTACCATCTTTGAGGGCCACTTATCACCAGTGAGGACAGTGCTCTGTAGGGGTTCTGCTCTAGATTTTGTGCTCCATGTTTTGAAAAATAGAAACACCCAAGAGTAGGATTCTCTTCTGTTTCTACTGGGCTAGAATTTGGATCACGTAATTATGATCCAATTTCCTTGGAATTAAAATATCCATCACCTACAGGATAAAAAATTGTTAGATTGGAGGATGGCCGGAAAAAAGAGAAACTATACGAATCAGCCAGAGGAGAAAAAGGCTAGAAAGCGTTTTCCTGGTGTGTTCAGACTGCGAGACGTCAGCGCCGCTGGCCCACGCACTGGGTCCACGCCCTTCGCAGCCTGGACTCAAACCAGCGCCGCCTGGGTGAGCCGCTCGGGCACGTGGCTCTGGAAGACCAGGCGGCACCGGCCTCGTCCTCAGAGTCCAGTCTCGTTGAAAGCAGGAAGTCCAGGGATGGAGAACACGGTCAGCTGAGTAGTCAGAGGAGGCAGCATTGTCCTTGGTCCTCACAGCCATCTGAGCACCAGGATTGGACGTGGCACCTGCCATGACGCTCAGCAGCACCCGCCTACTCACAGTGACCGAGTTCTTCCCTTCTCTGCTCTTCTTCAGTCCTCACCTGCCCGCACGGACACCTCGCCTGGGTGTCGTTAACAGACCTCCACCTGTGTCCCCTCCTTGGGCAGGCTTGGGATCCAGATACCCGTCTTCCCCAACTGCCTTTCGTTGTGGCAAAATACATGTAACAGAAAGTCGACCACCGTAACCTCTTTAAGAGCTGAGTGCTTTTAAATGCTTTCGTAATGTTGTGTGACCATCACCACCATCCATTTCCGCACATTTTCATCGTGTACAAGTGAACCTCTGTGCCTAAGTGAACAGTTTGAACAGTGACACCCCCGCTCTCCTCTCCCCCTCGCTCCTGGCACCCCCATCCTACGTCACATTTGTCTCTATGACTTTGACTCCTCAAGGACCTCCTGTAGTGATTTCACTTAGCGCAATGTCCTCAGGGTCCATCCACCTTGCGGCAGGTGTCAGAATGTCCTTCCGTCTGAGGGCGAGTAACATGCCATGGTGTGGACAGGCCACCTTCGTTTACCCATCACCCACCGGCGGGCCCTTGGGTTGTTCCACATCCCAGCCACTGTGAAAGTTGCTATGAACAGGGGTGTCCAAGCATGTCTCCGACACCCTGTTTTCCATTCCTGTGGGTGCACAGTCAGACGTGGAGAGCTGGGTCATGTGGGAATTGCATTTTCAATGTTTTGAGGGACCACTTTGCTGGTTTTCATGGCGGCTGCACGGTTTTACGTTCCGCCACATCCTCACCAACACTTGTTCTTCAGAAGGTTTTGGGTAGCGGCCACCCGGATGGGGGTGAGGTGGTGTCTCCTTGCTGTTCCGATTTGCGTTTCCCTGATGGTCGGTGACACTGAGCATCTTCTCATGGGCCGTCCTTCTGTCTCCTTTGGGGAGACGTCTGTTCCAGCCCTTGGCCCCTTGTTGAATCGAGAGGGTTTTTGTCGTTTCACTTGGGGTTCTGTGACACTGTTATTGTCACCGCACTTGCTTTTCCTTGGATCTTTTATTTAGGACAAGTGATGCTGGTAAATAAAGTAAATTAAGTGCCCTTATCTAAGTAAAATAAAAGTAACCTGCATCGAAGTGTGAAGTACTGTAAAGTACTGTGTAAAGTGTGAAAGCCCAGATGTGAAGGAAACTAGGCGAGGAGGGGGGTGGAGGGGGCGGAGGGGCAGGTGGAGGGGCCCGGGAAGGACCCAGCAGCAGAGCCCTGTGACTGCGCGTCCCCAAGGCACAGGACGTGAGCTCTCTGGAACGGAGAACGCGCCTTGTTCGGGGTAAGAGCTTTTACAAAGACTCCGCGGAGATTAATGAAACACACACGATGTATTTGGGCAAGTTCAGGGTACAGAACTTCAAATATCAGTGACGACTTCTGATCACTTTCATTGGCCTGGGGGGAAGGGCCAACAGAAGGGGGCTGCCTTTCTGCACCGCTGGTGCTGCCTTGGGAACCCCAGGGCTCGGTCCTGGTCCTTCCGTGACTGGAGCCACCTGGCTGGGCGGGAGGAGGGAGGACTTGGGGGAGTCAGGGCGGGGCTGGCAATCGGCACTGTCAGCACCCGTTTGTCCACTTGACGCCACACGATGGCTCGTTAACCCGGAGGCCACTGTCAAAGATGCTGCTTAGTTTTGCCCACCCAGCATCCACTCTCCGTGGTCTGGTCACTGCACTCTCCTTCGGGAACTAACCCACCCTTTGTCCACGCGGTCAGGGGGTGGGACTCCGCGGCAGGCGTGGGACTGCGATGGGGCCGATCGATAGACCCCATCCACTTGGCCCCCGAGCTGGTTCGGGGCAGAAGAAGGTTGGATGGGACCAGAGTCCGTCTCAGGACTTTGCTGGAACTGGAGAAAGAAGTTCTCTATTGACCGGAATTGTAGAGAAGACAGGAAATTTGCCACCGTGAAGCGAGATGCCCCTACAGGTGGGCTTGACAGAGAAGAAAATGGAGTCAGGGGACAGGGTTGATGTCCTGATGTGAGCCCCTGGATTCAGCTGGGCCTGAAGTCCACGCTACGCATATACTCTGTTTGCAATAGCTCACATCTTCCTTTGGTGTGAGCTCGGGGGGTCTGTCACCTCCCGGCGAACAGTTCCTGGGGGGCTGGTCCTCCGCGGCTACAGGCTAAGCCTCGTGCAAAGGGAACACAGTTCACACGATGCGAGGGCGGGCTGGTGGGGAGGGCTTTACTCATTGTTTTGCCCTTGTGACAACACAACAAAGTTCACACGATCACTGTCGCCATTTTAGAGATGAAGAAAGCTGAGATCCGGCACGGTTCAAATGACCGGCCTACAGTCAGCCGCTGTTAAGCGGCGAGGTCAGGATTCGAACTCAGTCCTGTCCGGTTCCTGGGGCGGAGAACATGACCATCAGCCTGCACTGATATCTCATGGGTGTGCCTCCCTCCGCACGGGTCTAGTTTCCTTGGTCGCATAGTCTCTGACGAAAGGTCATGTGGAGGGACGATGGCCCCGTGCGTCCTCTGCTGAGGACACTAACAACGGTCCTTGTCCTTCTCCGAAGTTGGCCAACGCTCTCGATTGTCCTTGGCTGTCTCTGCCATCAATGGGACCCCTAAGAGAGGCGATAGGTCAAGATGCCTCTGGGCCTCGGCCAAGCGCACAGCTAGGTCGGTCTGTTTATTTTTCGTCAGCTTGCTCCGGGCGGGCAGATGTGCGGCTGTCCCTTTGAGACGGCACCTCTCACTTCGACTTTGATCCAAATTCCGGCCCTTAAGAATAGAGCGATGTATCTGGTTAAGCGTCTCCTCAATTGGCCTCTCCATGTGCTTTACGACTCCTTTGAAGATTGTTTTCCTTAAAATTTAGGGGATTTGAGTGAGAGCAACAAAACACAGGATGTAGTTTTCCATTATCCCGGAGTTT